GCAAAAGTAGGGTCGTTGCTGTACTCATACATAAGAATGTACAGTTTGTCATTGAGTCAAATGTGCAGGATAAAAATGGCAGATACATAATAATCCAAACTTTTAACATGTCTGTGGTCCTGGCCTATGTGTATGCTCCTAATTGGGACAATGTACACATTTTCAGTGATTTTTTTTCAATTTTGCCTAGTCTTGATGCACACAATTTAATTTTAGGAGGCGAACCTCCTGAATTTTATTCACCTGTGCATCAAACCTATTCCAGGATTGACCATTTTCTCCTGGACAAGCAGTTACGTCCCTTACGCCCCATTCACAAGGGGCATCAGCGTCAACGCTTCCCGTTCACTTTGAATGGGCGACGTCAGGCGTTGCCGAACTGCATTGTGGATTCGTCGACGCTGCTTCAGAGGCATTGTTCGCTGCAAAAGTTGGGACTTGATCAACTTTTCAAGCGATGGAAGCATCAGCCAACAGATCGCTGTATGCAAATTCACCAGCTCAGACTGTGGCCTATTGCTGACTAAATTCATTGGCTAACGCTGCTATGACGATCACGTCAGCCCCAACTTCAGACACGCCCTCTGTCAAGCGTTGACACTGAAGCCTTGTGTGAATGGGGCATTAATGTCAGCAGAAGAGTATGGTAGTATTGTTATTTCGGAACATTGTCCAGTCTCTCTAAAGCTATGTTTCCAGGCAATGGAATCCTCCAACATACATGGCGGTTTAACTAAAGACTCTTGGCAGACGACGATTTTGTAAAAGTTATTGATGCTTAAATTTATTTCTTCCTTGAGATAAACGAATCCCCAGAGATAAGTTTGAGCATCCTATGGTATACTGTGAAAGCATTTATAAAAGGACAGATTATTTAATATCAAGCTAGCGCAAATAAAAGAATGTCAAATTGGCTTACAGAGATTATGAATTAAATAATACAATTGATCAGCTACACTCAACATCACCTTCCGAAGAGCTCCATTAGAAAAGACTCCTTCTGCAAGCGGAATATGACTCCCTGACAAGTGAAAATGCAAAGGATCTCCACATAAGATCACGCTAGATACATTATGAACATGGTGAACGAGCTGCCAGGTTATTGTGTTACCAACTGAAACAATCCTCAGCAGCTGGTTTTATAGCAGCAGTTAGTAAGGAAGACGGCAGTATTATTACTGATTAACAGGGAATTAATGATCAATTTAAACACTTTTATAAAACCCTTTGCAGCTCTGAGGTAAACGAAATTGGATGTATTGAGAGCTTTTTCCAATTATTTAGAATTGCCATACCTTTGTGATTCAGATCAGTTGGCATTAGAATGTAATATAACACCTTCTGAAATTGAAAATGCAATTAAAAAATTGAAAACCGGAAAAGCACCAGGCCCTGATGGCTTCGGGCCGAGTTTTATAAGAAGTTTACTGCCAAGCTAACACCACTGTTGTGCAAGGTATTTGATGAAGCTCTTGTTTTGGAGACAATTTTTTTTAGGTACTTTCAAGTCCATAGTTTCGAAAAAAAAAACACTTCTCTCCTTCACTGAACCAACCATAAGCATGTTGGATAGATGAATTGGTAAATATGGACTCATATCAAAGGGGTATGATGTCCATGTTGTATGAAGTGGTCTAAAGAACTGCCTCCCCTTGCCTAAATTGTATAAAACAAAAATGGGAAGACAGACTGGGACTAGAAATATCAGATACAACCTGGCAATATGCCATAGAACTGGTACACTCATCCCCTGCATTTATTAGACATGGTCTTCTTCAGTTTAAGGTGCTTCTTAGGCTTCACCTATCTAGGAGCAAGCTGGCAAAAATGTATCCAGGGTCAGATTCATCTTGCCCCAGATGTGGTTTGGAGCCAGCAGATCTGATGTTCTGGCGATGCCCTAGATTACATAAATTTTGGGCCAATATTTTTAGATCATTTTCATCTATATGTAATAGAGATCATAGCCTTTTCTTCTTTATTGGCCAGACGTCTGATTCTCCTAAGATGGAAAAAACAAACCCACCATCACACAAACATTGGAGATTAGAATTGTTATCACATCTTAAACTCGAGCACCTAAAGTACATCATCCGAGACTCTACAAAAAAGTTTTAGAGGTTTGGCAGCCTTTCCTCTCCTACATTGAACGCTCAGAGGTTATTATATCCTTGGTGAGAGTTTATCACTAGTTTCCTAATTTATTTGATCTATTTTTATTAATTAATTTATTTTTATTTTTATCTTTCACCCTTTTTCTTTATGGGGTGTGAGTATGTCTGTAGCTATGTACCATGTTAATTTGTTGTTCAATATGTGTGCTGTGGAAAAATTGAAGACTTTGGAAAAATCTATTAAAATAGTTGAATAATAAGAATGTAAGAAGTACTAAAACAGTTTTTAGAAGAGTAATAATCCAATTAATCTACTTACAGTACATGTCTCTGTCGAAGGTCTGTGAATTTTATCTAGTTATTAATTAAAGAAGAACAAGCCTTTCTCGTACGTGACTTTGTTCTTTGTGTGACTGAAATGTAGGTAATGGGTAAGCAGGATGAGAAAAAATTATATATTATTCTATTATATATTCCTTCTATGCTAATCAAGGACTTCTGAGACATTCCAAGAATGGGATGGGTCCTCCTGGCCTGGCAGAGTTGATCACAGCTCAAATACAAATTTCTGCCATTTGCTTTCAGTAACCATTTGCTTTTCACCATCCACAATTCATCTGCCCTTGATCTTCCTTCAAATAGCTTTATCATGTATGGAGTCATTTGACAGTTTATGACTTAAGCGTTGTAGTGCTAAAATCAACAGAGACATTGATTGCTTGTATTTCAATATATTTACTATTGTTGAGTCATGGCCTGAGGAGAGTATGTTAATGTTCTCACCCACTTTATCTCCTCTGCTGTGCTCTCATGTTCAGTTGGTTTTGGGGGTTGGTTTTCACTCATGTTTGACAATGCTTTACTCAGGGTATAATAAGGAACGGTAAGTGTTGATCTGGGATAATGGCTTTTACTCTGCCTCTCCCTCATATGGCTGCGTAGCCTCATATGCTAACAAAGGCAATTTCACTGTTTTTGTTGCTCAGCAGTGCACGTACAGCTAATTTCTTAATACAGTATGTTAGTTTGTTTCATTCTATATTTAAACATGTAACTTAATAAACAACTTTACCTGCTTTAAGCTTTGAGACTCTTTCTATTTATTAATGATAATAACAACTTTGATGGAGTCAGATTAATTACAATAAAGTCAGATAAATAATGGATTTAAACACGCCTTCTGTTTCCGATTATTGGTTCAGAATAGCAGCGTAAGCTCCAAACCTTACAGCTATGTTTCCATCCAAAAATGCCAATTAAATTAATTTGCAAAACTGGAATATCGCATAAAAAATATGCAAATAAATCAGTGTTGTCGGGCGACGAGGAGGCACAGTAGGTGGTGCTGTCACCTCACTGCAAGAAGGTTGCTGGTTCGAGCCTCAGCTGGGTCAGTTGGCATTTCTGTGTGGAGTTTGCATGTTCTCCCCAAGCTGGCGTGGGTTTTCTCTGGGTGCTCCGGTTTCCCCCACAAGATCAAAGACAAGCAGCATTACACTGTTTTAAGGATCTAAAAATGTATTCTTTAAAAAGCAAAAAGATTCCAATGGTGGCGCCTGCTGGTACGTGAAGAATATGGTCAATATTGATGAACCTAACAACATCATATAGTTTAGAAAACCGTACAATTTTTAATAATAATTAATTATTTTAGTGTCTATTTCATTCAGCATATTTAAAATTAGAGTCATCCACATTTTCTGACATACTTTAAATCAGGGTTTCTACAGGTGTCACCAAGTTAAATTTAAGACTTTTAAAGACATTTTTAAGACCATTATGAATGAAATTTTAGACCAAGGAATTTTTCAAATGGCCCAGAAGAAAAGGTTTTTTATTTGTCCTATCAAAAAATATTTTTATATAAAATAATTAATAACACAATAATAGATCAATATTAAAATATTTTAGATATTTCTTAGCAAAAGATCTTAAATATTGTGTGAAAACAGGAGAGCTCGACTTGGATCCACACACTTTTTTCCAAAATAAACTTTCTTTAAAATAAAAAACTAATTAACAAATGTTTTAAAAGTTTTAAAAACTATAATAAACTAAATCCATTCACAACAATCTGTCCAGGTGGATATCCTCAGCAGTCTTTACCATTATGATAAATAGAGTAAAAATGACCTTTTAAATAAAAGTTGAAAGTTTTATTGAGATGGATTGATGGTTATTGTGTGGGTTTTGACCAAATTGGGTAACAAAACATGAACATAGGAAAATGAAGACTTGTTTAAAAAAGATTTAAGACCTACAACATAACATTTCAGCAAATTTAAGTCTTTTTAGGGCCAAATTTTAGATTTTGGAATTTAAAACATTTTAAGACTCCACGGAAACCCTGTTTAAACACAATAGCCCTGATAATTAGTTATTATAATAAAGATTTAATTCTCACTCTGATACTATCTGTGAGAACTAGTAACAACTACTAGAAACAAGTTTAAACCCATAAAGAAGTCGATGGAAAAAAAGGGAATTGTGATCAACCTGACATATGCAAATGGAAAGTACTAAGCCAACACTATCACTGTAATAGCAGATATCTTCTATGAGAATACTGTAGGTCAAATATCTTCAGCTCAGTTAAACTTTTTTTAAATTTATTGTTTTTATTGATTTTATATAGCGACAGTGCTCAAGGGTGCTTTACACACAGTAGGAGAACAAGAAAAGCAATAACTCTAAGAAGGTAGAGAAAATGGGAGACTAATAATACATAATGACAAAAGACATGAGAACAAGAAACAAAAGAAACTCATTCCTGTCTTTCAATAAGTGCTTATGTGCATTTAGGAGAACTACGCAGCACACTCAAGGCTGCAACATGGATTTAATTTAGTATCCTTATTATTAAAATATATCTGAATGAAAACTAACTTGTTTGTTCCTGCGGATCTTCCTGTTTGACTGTGAATGTTTCTTCAATCTTCACATCTTCACTCTCCTCTTTAATAAACGCCATCTTTATAACAGTGTGTAGATCAGTCGCTTCAGCAGGAGTTTTTCTCTGTGTTTGGGCACTTTATTCTGTTTAAAATAAACAAAACAATGAACAGAAACAAAATAACTTATCTTTAACACTTGCTTCAACAGTTTCTTTATATGAGAGTGATTGACAAAAATAAATCAGGTAAGTCTGAGCAAGAAACAATAGCCACAAACAAATGACCTAATAAAAACTAGTTCTCCATTTATATATATATATATATATATATATATATATATATATATATATATATATATATATATATATGTATATATATATATATATATATATATATATATATATATATATAGAATATTGTATACTTATATTAGAATGACATTATGCTAGTAAACAAATAAAACCTTCATTAAAACACACATTTCTGTTGTTCAAACAATAGCCCTCGATTACTGTTATTAAAATAGTACTTCGTTGTATAAAGGATTAAAATAATAGTCAACCGCAGGTATATAATATCGAAAGGAAAACCTGGAACTTTAATCAATCGGTTTATATTTGTGTAAAGTTGTGAAACAAACCTTCCTCCAGTTGAACCGCAGCGCGGAAGCGGCGCAGCCTTATGACGTCACATAACACGCCAAAATAAAAGTCTTTTTTGTTCAGCTTTTTTGCCACTTACTGTTGCAGTCAGGACATGATAAATTTCACACTCCTTTTCACATCTCACATAACATATCTGCTCTCTCTCTTTCAAATACATAGACATTCAGTATTTGAAGTTGATCAAAACTTTTAATCCAAACATTTTTACACAATTTTGAAAAACTTGTTTAATCTACTAAGTATAAGTGTTTTTTTTTTGTTTTTTTTATTGTTGCAAAAAGTTTACATCACAAAACGGAACAATCAACATCGCAAGGCATATTTACCATTACAAATATATAAAATAAATTAAAATTGTTACAACTGCAACAAGGAGCAAGGAGCAGTACAAAAGATCTACATCAAAGGACAAACAAAATATTCTAACAATAAATATTATGAAAATGAAGTACAGAGAGCTTCAGTTATTTTACTTTGGTTTCTGAAATATTTGAGGCTTTGAGCCACTTTCTTTACCTCAGAAAGAAAACATCTAAAAGAGGGTCTGCACTTTTTCCACTTACAGCAATAAATTTGATATTTACCCATTAGTAAAATAAAGTTCACAACATCAGAGAAAGAACAATGTAAATCAGCTTTGTAAAATAAAATATCTTCTAGAACAATAGGGGGGACTGAAATCATCTTTAATGAAAGCCAAGTATGGATGTTGTGGTGTTTTTCAGTTTAAATAAAACTTTGACATGTTTTCCATGCATAAGAAGTCTTTAATGATTGTCCCATAGGGTGTTGGTTACTATGAAATCATCTGAAGGGTTAACAGCCATATTGTGAGCACGGTATAGACCAGTGTTGCAGACTGCTGAGACAAGCACATCCTGTTATTGAATATAGGGGCGAGTTCTAAGAATGACAGGATGTATGAGCCATGTGTGTGTTAAGAGGAGACATTTGCCTTAAAAGGTTAACTCTTAAGAGAAGATGCACGGAAGACAACTGTGGTATAAAAGGATGTGTCTCTGAAGGAGAGTTTAGAGAACTGAACCTCTCCTGCGCAGTGTATTGCTTTTGGTTTCTTTCCTGCTTGAGCAAATAAAACTTATAATTTTTGACAGATTGACTCCGAACCCATTTTTGAACATGCACTGGACCCTTTGAAGTCCAACAATTTTGGTGACCCCGACGTGATGGGAAAAGGAGGAATTTTGCTGGACAGAGGGATGAACTGAATTCAACACAAAGGCGCGCCTAAAAAATAAGGTAAGCAGAAACCTTTTAAATAAATTCTGCGATTGAATACTTCAAATTAAGTGTTGAATTCAGCATAATCCTGATGTAAGTAAAATACAGAGAAACCAAAAGTAATATTTAACATTTTTGAAGAGTTATTGTGAGACGTCTGAGAGAGGATATCAGGGTAAATTGCTAGAATTTAAAGAGAAAGTCCTTGTCCCTGCAAGGCGAGAATGAACTAGGGTGAATTACTAGAATTCAGGTAAATCCTTGTCCCTACAAGGTATAAGGGCGAATTTTCGCGCAAGAGAATTCGGGGAAAATCCTCGTCCCTTAGGAGGTAAAAAATTAAAAGTGACCTTACTCTTGACGAAGGTAAGAAGCTTTTAATACCAGGGACAAAGACCGAAAGTCAGGTCTTTGTAAAAGTGGAAGTCCTCCTCCCTGTGGAGGCATTTTGGAAGCCACTCCTGTTTTGACGGAAACTGGAAACTTTCGAATACAAATTTTATTTTATGAGATTGTGATTATTCCTGAAAAATTTGGCTAAGGTATCAGGAAAAGATAGAGTAGGGAACAAAATAAAAAATAAATAAATAATAAAAAAAATAATAAAATAAAAATTAAAAAATTCTGAAAAGACGTAGGGACAGCTTAGGTAGCCCCGGGCGTGGGTGACGCCATATACTGAGGGTCAGAGTAGGGAAAAGAGCTCAAAACATCTAACGCGCGAATACAGGAAAGACGTCGTGGAAGAAGAATACAAGAGGGAGTGTTGAAGGAAAAATAAATGAGAGAAAAAGTTAATATTGCAATTTGAGGAACATAAAGAAAATATGATATACTGTATATATATATGAACTACTATAGAAAATATGAAATATACTGTAGAATAGGGACTAGAAGAAAAGGTTCTAGAGAACCAGGATTAGGACAGTGTAGGGAAAAGCACTGACCTGACGAGGTCATGTATTGGTATGAATGAGATAAATGGTAAAGAAGTGTGAGGATGAGTGACAACACAACCTGAAAACGATGTTAATGTGAAAGTTAAAAGTATATGTGTAGTTGTGTCTTAAACAGGAACTAGCTGAGTCTCTCGGGTCCAAGAGAGGGAGGCAACCAGGAAGGAGACCACTGCAGAAGGAGGTGACACACTAACACATAAACATATACTGTAGGAAAAGACCAAAAAGAAAATTTCCATCCATCACAAAGTAGTCTACAAGCTTTGCAATTGGTCCACAAAACTTGAGATTTATTCACAGCCCCTGAAGGTGAAGCAGTAGCCCATTGTGTTAGTGCAGACTGTGCATTTGGAGCAGGCATAGCGACAAATTCAGACAAAGATACGGGGTTGACAAAGTAAAGGCAGACAGGGTTAGACAGACACGAAAAAAAGGAAGTTAACTGGAGCCATGCCATTTCATGAGGAAGAAACAGTTAGGCAGAATATAGTAAAAGAAAATAGAAAAAATATATATATATATTTGATCAAATACTGATAAATGTTGACATAATGATTAGAGATATAGTATAAGTTACTAAATAAACAGATCTATTATATTGCAGGACAAAAAGACAAGTAAAATAAAAAATAATGGGAGATATACTTAATATAGTTATAAGTTTAAACAGACCTTGAAGCTATATGAATAAATAAATAAAATAAATAAGTATAATAATAAATAATAAAGAGAAATTAAAATACAACATAAAGACCAGATACTAAAGAAACATTAGAAGAGATACATTGGAAGAAAGATGAAGAACTGAAATAAGAGATAGAAAATAAGCTGTTAAACAGCAAAGAGATAAAATTGAGGAGTCTTCGGTCGATGAAGAGGAAAATTAGAAAAGAAAATTTGACTGGTTGAAAATGGTTAACTGAAGTGTTACTGGCCAAATATGTAAGGAAGATCATAATAAAAAAAAAGGAAAAATTTAAAGCTAAGAAAAAAAAGACTCCTAATTATGGTTTAATAGAAAGAAATGTCAAAAAGATTATAGTTTAAAATATGTCTAAAATATATATAAAGAAAGAGAGATATTAAACAGATGAGATAAAAACTAGAAAAAGCAATAACTCTTTAAGGAAGTAACCATTTGAGGAACTAAGACTTGACATTAGAGGATGAAATTGTGTTTAGGTGCAAAAAAAAAAAAAAAAAAAAAAAATAAATAAATAAATAAATAATTAAAGAAGATTATAATAATAATAATAATAAAAGTTTGTTGTTATTCTATGATTTCTAATAGGGAATTGAGACAATTTTAATAGGTAGCTAATACAAATGAATGTCAATTAGACACTCCTTTTGGCAAAGTAGCAACTGCGTGGGGCACAGTAATAGGGAGAAAATTTTCTGCACCACCTCGTGCTATACATAACATAAAGTCCACCCCTAAGGCATATGAAACATCAGCAGCATATGTATTGAGATGTAAACTGGAGTGAGAAGCCCAGACTGGGACACATATTCATGCTAACCAATTTATGAAGGATTGGTTGAGGATACTTCAAGCTGTGTTAAATGACTAAAATAATAATAATAAAATAAAAAATACATAAATAATAACCCCTGACATACCAGGAAGTGCTTCGGCCACCTGGGAGAGACACTTGCTCCATCACATCAATAGAGCTAAAGATAAAGCTGATGAGAGTCAGTCCGAGATTGAGGAACTGAAAAACCAGTTAGTGAAATTACAAGTGAACAAAGCCAGACAAGAAGTCAATGATCAAATGAAAAAGATAAAGGCAAACAATTGGTGCAGTTGCCTGACCCTGAACAATCTTACATGGCACCTGTGTACAAACAGCCATCAAACCAAACACCTAAACGCCAACCTCAATTTAGAAGACAGAATACGGGAGGCATTAGGGTCAAGGGGGTCCCGGGGGCTTACAGAGGGTGTGGATGTGGAGAGGGTTGTTTCAGGTGTGGCCGCCTAAGTCAGCTACATCGCAACTGCCAGGCTAGTCAATGCTACACGTGCAATCAGCTGGGACACATTTCGACAAGATATCCCAACAGACAAAATCTGTATGCCGAGAGAGGGGGCGTGCAAGGAGGCAAAGGCTTTGTGGCACCACTTGCAGGGCAAGCTCCAAACCCTGGAGGACAGAACCCAGGGCAGGGTGGAACACTATCCACTCTGGGGAAGATGGGAGCATTTCTGAGGAGGCCCACAGGGAGACCAAAGCGGGGCTATGGTGGAGCCACTGTTATCTATGAAGGGTCAACAAAGACTGTCTGCACTTTTTTGGTCAACACGGGTGTGACCTATTCAACATTGATTAACCCTGTCAATCAGGACTTGATTTAAAAAAAAAAAAAAAAACTGTGGAAGTAATGGGTTTCACTGAGGAATGTGAAAGACTGTCTTTAACTGAGCTAATACCAGTGTCTGTTGATGGACAACAACTGAAACATCACTTTCTGTGGTCAGACAGAGCCCACACGAACTTATGGGTCAGAGACTTGCTGATAAAGCTTGATGAATCATTCTATGGTGTGCTGATGGTGTTATGGTGAGATTTCCTACAGGGACCACTAAGAACTGTTCACTGGGTACACCTCACCTGCTAGGACAATGGTTGCTGTCATCGATGAGAGAGCCTGTAGGAGCTGACATTTATTGGGGCAAACTGTAGCCACAAACCATGCTGGGAGACGGCCTTCTCTCACTTTATGCTCAATGGAGACCTTGGGTAACTCTTATTGCACCATACATGCCTCCCACCAACCCACCGCACATGACTTTAA